TGTCATCTAAAGAGTATCCAAGTGCTTTTCTATGCTTGCGCAGTTTGTCCAATAATAGAGCAAGCTCCTTGTCAGTGAGGTTTGCGTTAACTATCACTGGGTAGGAATCGTCCATAAGGAAAGCGTATTTAAGCCCAACGGGTAATGGTTTGAGCTCCACTTTTGGTGCCTTTTCCTTAGTGAGATTTCCAAAAGACGGTGGGTGTCGATCGATATCGTTGCTCAGATATCGATCGATATCGTTGTTCAGATATCGATCGATATCAATCTTTGATTCATCTCCGCCTTTGGTTTCGACACTTGGGGGTCCATGACTTGTTTCTATTAGACGATCGCACTCAGCTGCTCTGCTATCTACGCTGAAAACTTCGTTCTTAGCGGATGTAAGCACATCTTCAAAATGATCATCTGAGTACAGTTTCTCAAAATATTTTTGGGTTAGTTCATCAATCTCATCGACATAAGAGGATTGCTTATCTATTAAAGGCGATGTGACGACTTTTTCCATATCAAATCTCATAGGGATATTGCCTATGTTAAGATTTATTCGTCCTTCCTTGACGTCGATAATAGCGTTTGCAGTAGCGAGGAAAGGTCTTCCTAATAGAATCAGATCTCTTGGTTCGTTTTTGTAATGCAGCACGACAAAATATGTTGGAACAACGCATCCGCCGATTTGCACCGGCACATCCTCAAGTACTCCTTCTGGGATCCTAACAGATCTATCTGCAAGAACTAGTTGGATGTTAGCTGGCGTATATTCGGAATACCCAAGGGATGTGGCAACGGAATGCGGCATCAAATTTACGCTAGAGCCCAGTTCACAGAGTGCTCTCGGAAATAGCTTGTCTCGGATTGTACATCTAAGAACAAAACTACCAGGATCGGGTCTCTTTTCAGGGGTTTGGATTATAGCACTAGCTTCTGCAGACACCATCATGACACTGCGTTTCTCTGTTGAAAAACTCTTGGTTGTCATTCCCTTGACATATTTTCTTATGGTTGGCGAAATTCGAAGAGCGTCAATAAGTGGTATTTCTACACTAACGCGTTCAAAAGCCCGTCTGCAGATTTCCTTATCCCTGCTGCGCGTGGAATCAAGTTTGCGAGGATAAGGAGGTAAAGTGTTGTACACCCGTTCTATAGTCGGCCCGGTGGGTATCGGACTTTCTTTCGAGTTTGGGGGTGTTTGTCGATCGATATTGGTGTCATCGAATCGATCAACGTCATCAATCTCCTCCTCATCGAGAATGATCACTGGCTCTTCAGTCTTCTTGTCATTTTCCTTGTTTTGAGGGCCAGTGGTTAACGAGTCACGGAGTATAATGGGATTAGGAATGGGTTTCTCCGTTTTTGGAATCTCAGTGTTTTCTCCCGAAGGAGGGTTTTCCCTAATGATCGAAGCTAGTTCTTTTCCACTTCTCAAAACTACAGCATTCACGTGACGTCTCGGGTTTGTATCAGTCTTCCCGGGCAGACATCCTGCTTCTCTCTTGATACTTTCTGCGGTATGGGCAATATCACTTTCAAGGTCTCTTATTCTCCTTCGCAAAGCGTCAAGTTCTTCCGACATTTTGCTGCAGGTGCAATCTAGCCTGGCATCTAGGGTATACTCTAATTTTTGACTTTCTGTGAGAACGTGGTTCATCCTGGTCTTGACCCTTCCTCTGTTTACTCCAATGGAAGTGTCGTAGCCTTGGGTGAAACTATCTATGTTAAAAGTATACTCCTGAGGGCTTTCTGGTTCAAAGAAGGTTTGCTCAATGGAATGGACATCTTTATAGCAGTGGGTCACGTCAGAGTCTCTTTTTCTAATGAGAGAGTTAAGGGAATCTAGTGATTGCTTAATTTCATTTAATTGAGATTCGTTCTTGGTTCTAGATTCTCGTTCTCTATCTTTAGTTTCGTAGAACTTAACCATAGCTATGTTTCTAATCAAATAATTTGCTTATGCAGGGGTCCTGGAGCTTAAATTTCCATCACTCGCATTTTCTAGCGTGATCTGGTAATCCAACTCGAGACCTCCGTAAAAGAATTTAAGAAGTTCTGGTTCAGAATAACCATGGTGGGTACAATCGCGCTGATGATTATTAAACCTAGTCCAAGCGTTTCTAAAAGATTCTCGTGGGCCTTGAAGGAAAGTGTAGAGTTTATGTCTCACATCCCAATATCGGGTCTCATTGAAAAATTCGTTGATGAAAGCAGTGCGAATGTCTTCCCAGCAGGTTAAAGATCCTGCTGGTATTTGTTTCAACCAACTTTTGGCTTCCCTCCCCAAGGAAAAAGGAAAAAGTTTGCAACGATTAGTATCGTTAAGTGCGAATCCTTCTAGATAATCTATGTGCTCATGGGGGTGGTCTGAGACAGAACCACAGAAAGGGGTTCTTTTGTACCAGATTGATGTAGTCGAGATCAAGCGTAGAATCATTTACTTCATCATCTGGTAATCTGATAGCTGACCTATTGGAATAGGTCTTAATGGGATCTAAATAGTCTTGCAATTTTTCTACATCTTCAGTTGAAGATGGATGGTTATTGACAAGGATTTCAGTCCCCTGTTTAACTGTAAATCCATTTGTTTTATTGCATAACTGACCAACTGGTTCGTTTGGGACTACTTCCTCATTATTTAAGTCGGTAAGTAAAGACTTACCTGCTTCCGGCTCGGGTATATCGATCGATGTTGGATGGTCTATGTCGATCGATTTCTCGGTCAACATATCGCTCGATGTACCGGTCACGTCATCGGTCGATACCGAGCTGAAATCTGCCTCTTCCATCTTGGGTCCCCTGATAATCAGAGAAAGAACAAAAAGGAATTAAGTAAACTATAAATAAAAATTCTAGACTGTATTCTAAACTAAATCTGGTGGTAATAAGAAAGAGTCCCCGGCAACGGCGCCTAATTTGATATCACTCAAATGTTTAACCCTAAGGAGTGAATTACTCTCTCAAATAAGAGGTTCAATCGTAGTACTTAGGGATCGAATCCACAAGGACTCTAGAATTACACAACAGATTATTAAGTCTTCGNAATTCTAGACTGTATTCTAAACTAAATCTGGTGGTAATAAGAAAGAGTCCCCGGCAACGGCGCCTAATTTGATATCACTCAAATGTTTAACCCTAAGGAGTGAATTACTCTCTCAAATAAGAGGTTCAATCGTAGTACTTAGGGATCGAATCCACAAGGACTCTAGAATTACACAACAGATTATTAAGTCTTCGAAATAGAGCTAGACAATAAGATTTTAAACAGTAACTTAAAAGATAGCAAGTAAATGCTTGATTGGTTGATTGGTTTGTAAGAAGGAAGAAGGTAGTTAAACTTAGGTATTTTCTCAGGTATGACATACATGCAAATTGTAAAGGGTTTTTATTATTCATAGTTCTAGATTCAAACTTTTAAGGAGGTTAAGAATTAACTCCACTGGATTTCTGGTTAGGACTATCGTCCGATAACCTGAAGGGAATATCGATCGATGTTTCTGTCGAAGCTATCGACCGATGTAAATGCGGCTATATCGGTCGACACGACTATCGTCTTGTCGGTCGATATCGCATCCAGCGAGTGGTGAAGGTGTGTTTGAATGGATTATCTAGTTCTCATTAAATTAACTTAGACTTAGGGTATTTGCCAAGCTATCGCTTGTCAAAATTGATCCTAAAATCAGAGACAAGGGTGATCAATCCTTGATCTTAGCATTCATTGATAGCTAGATTGAGAACTATATTTTAAACACCCTAATAATGGTTCAATTCAATGCATGAGTCAACCTTAATAAAAAACCTAAATCTAACAAAAGAGACTACTCAAACATATTCATGAGAGACAAAATCATGATGGTCTGAATAATACTTTAAAATAATAATAAAGAGAAACAATAAGTAAAAAGGGAGTTCAAGATCTTCTCTGTAATGGTAGTTCAGATCTCTCTCTCCATCAATACTCTTTTCAGAGTGCAGCTAGATGCTTCTCCAAATTAGGTCTAAAAGTCTCCAAAGTTGTCTACCTAGACTAATACAAAACCAACTTAATATAGCCTAACAGGCGGCCAGGGACTTAGTGTGTAAATTATTAAAACTCTTGTGAAGCAATTAGGACTTCTAATCTTCATTTAATCGCTTGGATGACTTATGTATCGATCGATACAAAACTCCATTATCGATCGATATGGGTAATCATCTATCGGTCGATTGCTCGCAGCGTGCATCGGTCGATAGCTAAACATTGTTTTGCTCATAACTTTATAAAGTCTCCATTTTAGCTCCAAAATGCATGTTTTACACCAGTTAATATCTGGATCTGTAAAAGCTCTAAAAAGACACTAAAAGTATCATTTTGTCTCCAAAAACATATATAAATCAGGGCTGAAAGCGGGTAAAAACCATGATATATCAGAGTTCCATGGCAAGCTGTAGGGTGACTGTTTTTTATGTTGGTTTTAAACCTTATGTTCTATTTCATAACCTAATTTACTGTTATAATTTGTTGTTTTGAGGATTTACTTAAGTATTGACATTTTACTTTCCAGTACGAGCTATTTTATGTTAATGCTTCTTAACTAACATTTATATGTGCTATGCTAATTTATTATATTAAAATTAAAATCCGTTACTGTTTTCAGATTCCAGATACTACAGAAGTTGAATCCGGAGTTAGATTTCGATACTAAGTTCCTGGAATCAGATTTATGAGTATTTTGTTTACAAAATATTTCACATTTCTTAGTTATACCTTCAAATATAACACAAGATATATGACCTTCAAGCAACACTTAATACTATGAAATGCTTAAATAAGATAACCTCCAATATATTACAAACAACCATATTGAAAATAAGAAACTTTTTCTTACAAACATAGATTATAATAACATGATATATAGAACAAGGATCTGAAACATCACATTCCAAAAAGATCACGCTTCCTTATGTTGCCGTTCTTATATATAAACATAAGTGCTAGTAGTTTCTTCATCAACCACACTTTAATGACATTACTTGTCTCCCTGTTCACCAGAACGAGTCCCATCACTCACACCATCTGCATTCCTCTGCGCAATCTGAGTCGTCACATCAATGGCATATTGCATCTCACCCTTTATGATTCCGTCTCCATTTTCCCTCGAACTTTCACCTATGGAATAATAATTACATGGATAATGTCTGAAAGTTAAATCCGGAAAATAATTGCAATTAAAACTTTTTAAGCAAAATGTATCGGCTACTATATACTGTAACGCATCAATGTTATCTTGCCGAAATGTATATACCTTTCTCAGAGATGAGATTACCATATTTTGATTCTGTTCTGAGTGTAGAGTTGTTAATAGGATCTCTTAGTTCAACTCCGGCGTTCAGCTTAGTTGACGAGGCGGTGGAAGATACCTCGACTGGAACTTGGTATTGGGGATTTGCTGGTTATCCGAATTTACTATGTTCAGATCGTAAGGTAGATAACCAGTAAACTCGGACCCAGGAACCCCATAAATTCTTCCTATGTTTAGAGAGTAATTTGAAGCCATTAATCTTTCATAATATCCGTGTCTCATCTCCCAGTAAGGAGTTTCATCATGAGGAACGTATCCAAACATTCTGACGTATGGTGATGGTGCATAAGTATTTCTTAACACTGTAACAGGAGAAATTCCCGCTGCATTTATGACATAGTTTGGTAGGTTAAAGAACATTAAGCATTTAGTTATATTCTGATAATGTAAAATTGAATCATTAAAAAGTTGAATTTTCATATCTCACCGTTTTTTTCAACATTACTAAATCCGCCCACTCCATTAATTTGATTTCCATCCGGCGGCGGCTGGTTTACGATTGAAGGATTGTTCACATTAGGGACAATGTGATCATCGTGGTTAATCTGGACGTCAACATTCAGGTCTAGCGATTTTCTTGCTTTTTCAACTTCCATGGAAAACCGATACATAAGCATCAGTTTTTCTGGGTCATTAAACTCCCTAATGACTTCTTCCCTGCACGTAATCCGTCCTTCAGTCATTATAGCTGCAACATAAATATCAACCATAACGTATGTTATTTGGTTTATTCATATAAAATTGTCGAATGAGAGTCTATCATTTGATATTTCTCACCATTTATCATTGCAAGATGCTGTTCTTCGGTGACACATTCTCCAAGATAGGTCCGGCGACCAATAGTAAATGGACTCCTGCATATGTAGTGGTACTTTGCAACTTCTTGAGCACCAAACACTATACATAATTTTGGGTCTGTGTTCCAGTCGTGAACGCTGAGTAGCATGTCAATGTCCCCGTCTGTCCGAATGGTTTGAGGGGAACTGTTTCAACATCCGTCTCAACCATCCGTTGTGGGAGCTGGAACGTCACAACAAGTGGTACTTGACGTCCTAGATTGTAGATACTATGAACTTTCAGTTCCAGGGATGGATATTCTTCACTTCTCCGCACAAGAATTGATTGCGCCATTACTGCAAGATCATCTTTGAATCGCCACACACCATGTTGGGATTTAGACCACTCTCCTTTTGACATAATAAGTAGACGAGCCATCTGCAATAAGAGAAAATTACAATTATTGGGAATAGTGGAGACATCATCTTAATTCCGATGACCTTATTTACCAAAAAATAACATCATCTCCGGTTGCCTTTAGTTCTTTCTATAAACGATATTTAGAATCAAGACTGTCCACACCAGCTTCCCGTTTCGTCTCAATCGGACTTTCCGTTGAGATTTTTACGACGAAAACAAATAAACTCAACGAATCAAGACTGTCCACACCAGCTCACCATATGGCAAGCTGAGAGGGCTCACCCAGCTCGCCCAATGGTGAGCTGAACTAAAACTCGAGTCTCTCGAGTCTTGGTCGCGCTGGTTCTCGTTTCCTCTCAAACGGAATTCCCATTGGGATTTTAAGACAAAAACTGCAAAGACTTGTTTTTTCGTATAAGTTCGAATCAATCGTCTAAAACGGAAACGGTCGACTTAACACCAAAGTTTCCTAAACTATACGAGAGATCTAAACTCTCTAAACGCAATCCGGTTTTACAAAACTCTGCCATGAAAAGTAGAAAACATCCAACTATAAACACGTGATTGATTTTTCGATATACAAAACGCACCTAGCCGGTTAAGTATAACCAGCAATACGAAGAAACAAAAACAAAAACTTGGACGATGAAATCCCTTCCTCACTCCGAAACTCTTGTTGGTATTTTGTCGAAGACCGATTCATACAAAAGTAAGTCAAAAGACGAAGAACGAAGAATAGTCGGTTCCAAATCATCGATGAAACTAAGGTATGTCCGATTTGAAAATTTTATTAGACTTCTAATTTCTCGTAGGTAAGAAACAAAACGTCTTGTAAACTGCCGTGAAACCTAGAGAACTTAGAATTTAGAGGATAGTCTAGCATGCTAGGTCGTAAGCAATTTTTGTCTATCTCGATTTGTTGTTCTCTAACAATTCAGGCATAATTCGCAAACCGATCCAATCTCTCGTACAACCGAGAAATGATCGCCACGCATTCGAACATACTCATTTCCTAAAAGAAATAAGAAGCTAGAGACGCTGATGTAGTCTTAAAACCGACTTGCTCCTAGAAATTTTCGTAAATCAGACATACTCCAAGTCATCACCGATCCACCATGGTTTTTAATCGACCCGGATTGTCGATCATCCGAATCCTTCAAAGGAAACTCTTTTTTCTTCTTTCGCTGAACATTTTTCCTCGCATCAAGAAAACGGTTTCTATACAGCAAACTCTCGCAAAAAATAAGTGGAAAAATATTCGTACGATGCGACGCCTCGTCGAAATCATCAGCAAACGACAATCTAAAAACCGTCTAAGCGCTAAAGACTGATCCAAACCTTCTGAGAAATAATCTCAAGGACTATAGAGCACCTCTCGTCGCAATCATGCGGTTAGAAAATATCTGTGAAACTTCAGAGTGAAGCTCGATGATTTGACGAAGTCATAAAGATCCTCTCGAACTTGATAAAACAAGTTTCCTATAAGAATCAAAAAATTATACGAGAAATCTTTAGGCGTCAAAACATTGCTATCATTTTCCGCCGAATAAAGTGAGTCACGGAATAATATCAAGAACATTTGCGGCAAAAACAAAAATCGAGAACACACAGCAGCAATAGAGAACACGTCCTCCCTCCTCGCCGACTGATCCTATTGCTGGTCATGTGATTCATTCCGCCCGAGAAACCAGCTAAAACATTTTGCGATTGGATCTCGGTGAAATAACTTTTGGTAAAACTCCGCGAGTGACTCCGAAAAACCATCACCGAAGAATCAATAACTAAGCGGAAAGGTTTCTCAAAAAATCTGCGGAAACATTGTTAACCCAATGCGTCGTGCCGATTTACTAAATTCATTGCCCGTTACGCGAGAAATCCTTCGTATAATCAGGATCATGTCATAACGAAATAACTTTCGAAAGTAAACGTAACAGGTTTGCAAAAAGTACTTTCCTTATAGCGAAAACCAAGCTATACGATCTGGCATTGAGCGACCAATCAAAACTTTGCCCCTCGCGCCACGATCTGAAAGATCTAACTCTTTACCCCTTCGGTTCACGAGCATCCGCCCTCATCCCTCCCGGTTACGTCCGAAAATGAAACTACCCCGTGAACAACTCCACACGGACTATGCATCGATCTTCTTAGGCTCTGTACCCCTCGGATAAAAAAAAAAACTTCCATACGAACAAAGGAAAAGTTTATACGAAACTTTCATCGTATAAATCAAACCTACAACAGAAAAACGTTTCTGTAACCGCAGGCATACTTGGCATATCAAGCTCGACAAACACTACGCGGCTATTGTCCGATCACGCTTCACTTCAATGCCAAGTTTACAAACCGACTCGACCTTATCAATAGCACGAAAGTGTCGTGGCCTAATCCTCTACCGAATACGACCTTGGCTGTGCAGCCGAATACTACCTTCACGCCGAGCCAATACATTCAACGGATAATGCAATCTTGTCGAAAATCGGCGAAGTTCTTTATTCTCACGATTCACACTATTTCCGAAGCAAGTTGCCTACAAAATTCGACGTGTAAGAAAACGCTCGTAACAAAGCTCCTGAAGCCGTACGAATCTTGGAGGGTTAACACTTCACAAAGCACCGTAACGAAAAACACTTCGTTTCGGGGAAACAACTTACGCGACCTCTCGGTCCTAATTGCTCTAGCACAAATCATAAAACTACTTAACATCCAAACAGAAATGTAAGTTTTAATTGCGAATATCCGCAAACGAACCAAAGTGTTCCTGCAAAGCAGGGTTAAGACAAAACCCCCGCAACACCGCGAAACATCTTTGAGCCCGCAAACGTTTCGAACACGAAACGCGGCACACGAAATAAAAACCAACTTTCGGCACTGCGAGACGTCGCAGGCGCCCGGAGAATAGTTTTTCAATACAAATACCTTCCTCGATAAAGTCATTTTCTTTGAAGACCTAACAGTCCATCCGCGACTATAAAAATACGAAAAACTTCTTAACGTATGTATCCTTCGCGAAGGCCAAAACAACGTAAACATCAATCACCTAAAAAGTTTGTTGCTGATCACAACAAACTCGCAACAGTCCTAAACAAACTTAAGTTATCTCACAGAGATAGCTCACGAACACCAGACACAAGGGTAATAGCGCTATAAAAGAAATCCAAACTTTAGGTCAGCACTTCCGGGCAACTTAGAAATTGTTCCCTGTGAGATGCTCGGTTCCAACCAGACGAATCGTATAAGCCGAGAACCTATCACGGATTCTAAATCGGTATGGAATCAGGTTAAAATCGCAACAGGCAAAACGAAAGCCGACTAGTCATCGCATAGCTTCAATCTGAAAGTAAACCTAGGTCTTGCCCTAAACCCAGCACACTGGTCGCTAACGTCTCAAGGCATGAATCGAGATCCTAAAGGCATGTCTCTTCGTCTATATCTAAACGCTCACTCGATTTGCTAAACATCCTAAAACGAGCAAACGAATAAGGCGATACACTAAGGGAAAGGAATGCAAGACGACAACTCGCGGACCTCCCTCAATATCAACTCATATTATTCCCTCTACATTCATACGAATTAAAACACGCTCTTAAAAACGCATACCAATTTTTAATAAAGACGCAAAAGAGGCAGGGACTCAGAGCCGCACACGGCCAGTCGAAAACTATAACGGCCACGCTCGGCCAGACCAAACGGCCTACGAGGCTAGTCTCAAGGCTGGCAAAGGTCCAGATGCCATCGACATCAATATGCTCGATAATTCCTACATGACATATAACTAGACTGTAAAGGTCTCACTGCGAAACAGGTCATACGAACCTTAACTCCAAACGAACTACGAAAGGCTTGATCCCTTCAATAGGGTACGTTGGCAACTTTCACAAGGCACAGCCTTAATCTTAAACGCATTCCGCTTCCTAGAGAATGGAAAGATCACTCTCAACGGACCTTTCCAACCATTAATTCCGCCTAACTTAACTAAAATTTGCTAACTACTCGCAAGAACCTTACGCTAGAAGCTCAAGATTCTAGCGAGCTGGGGGGCTAACTGTTGGTGTCAAAATCGTTCACGACTGAATCAATGGCTAAAAGTCTCCGCAAAAGTAAAAATAAAAATACGTTTTATAATACTCGTGAGATCGTTTTATAAAACTTGAGAAATTATTTTATAAAAGACGTTTCCGTTTTATAAAACTCGAGAGATCGTTTTACGAGTTTTATAAAACTCGAGAAATCGATAAATCGTTTATAAAACTCGAAAAATCGTTTAATAAAGCTCGAGAAATCGTTTTATAAATCCAAAGAGATTTCCGAACAAAGGAAATCCACGGAAAACTCAGAAGATCGTTATCTCGGAAAAATAAAACAAACGTCAATTACACGATCGTCCGAGTTACGCACAAAAACCGTGAAAAACAGAAACCGCCGTAAAACGCGAGTTAGTCACGTCACGACTAGCTCGCCCAACGTCGAGCCAGCCTCGTCCCGATTAGCTCGCCCAACGGCGAGCTAGCTTCGTTCCGACTAGTTCGCCCAACGGCGAGCTAAGCCAGCCGGCTAAGCTCGCCGTTGGGCGAGCTAGAAGCTTCCATAGCTCTCCCAAGAGGCGCTGACTTCGCCCCAAGGGTTCTTATCGCCTAGCTCGCCATACGGCGACCTGGCCAAGCTGAACTAGCTCGCCGTACGTCGAGCCGACCATCCCAAGCCTCGATCTCCCACATCCTTGATTCAAGGCATACGTCCTTCGACACGATCATATTCCGAATCACGGTTGAAATGTCTCCCGTTTCTTCTCGATCCGTCCTATCGTTCAAGTTTTACGATAAAAACCGTAAAAATTTGTTTTCTCGAAAAGAACTCGAGCAAATCGTATAAACTGCAACGGTTAAACGAAACACCGAATATTGCCTAAACTATACGATTTATTCGAGATTTTTCGTAAAAATCGTACAAAACGCGTTTTTAATAAAACCCCGAGTAAATCGTAGAAAACGTCAACGATTAATCGAAACATCGAACATTGC